ACTGGGTTAAGGAAGGCATCGCGCTGGTGAGTCGGTCGCGTTGCCTGGACTTCCTTTTTTTTTCTTGCGCGAGCGATATATTAGCAGGGGGCTTGGGTTTGTGGCGGGGGGTTTTCGAGGGGCCCTTGAGTATAGCTTTCGCGTCTGATGATCACGGTGGCGTAGCTGTCGGTTGGATTGATTTATCTTGTCGCGTCTAGTATATGTTCGGCAGATCATTCCCAATAGCGGTAATCGACCATTGCTGCGTGCGTGGCCCGAAGTCAAGGACCGCGCTCGCACTGATGCCACGCCGTGGGTCGGAGCCTTGCCGGCGCCGTTCGGGGTCCTCCGAGAGGCCCTCATCGGCCGCGTGCGTCGCGCGCGTCGTCTCCAGCTCTGTCGTCTGGCCGCGCTGTTGCGCATTAAAGAGTACCTGTTGGAGTCGCTCCTTTGGGGGCATCCTAGAACATGCTAAGAGGTGTTGTGCATTCCTTGCCCAATTACCCCGCTGTCCGTTTGGCTCGAGAAAATCTCCGATCTCGGTTTCGGGTCACGGCGCAGCTTGACGCGTCAAAGTGGGGCCTCATGGGCAGAGGGGGCGCAGGCAAGGGCTTCTCCGACGGGGGCAGGAGTGGCCAGGGTGGCCAGCGCGGTGGAGATCGCGGCCGCGACCGCGACCTCCGCTACTAACGTGATCAGCGTGACTGTTATCGCGATCTGGGCCGTCGGAGGGGCCGCCGATCCCGCTCGAGCTCATCGTCGGAGTCCCATGGAGAACTCTTGGAGCGGACCGATCGCTGGACGTGCAAGCGCGATCCCTCGTACGCAGCCTGTGTGGACCACTGCGAGGCAGACATGCGGGGCGCCGAGGTTCGCCGCAAGGGTGAGATCATGGACAGGACGACGCAGGAATCGATTGGCCGCGCCTTCCAGGACAACTGCATCCACGTTAACGCGCCGACGTGGGGGACGGGATCCAGCGGTGGCACACCGCCGTCGCCAGGCTCGGGCGCGACCGAGACTGCGGCGCCGACGCCGCCACCTACGTCGGCGGGGAACGACGGCGGGCTCACGAACATCAAGCGGATGCTGGTCGAATCCCTGTTCGAGTACATCTTCGAGCTGCAAGATGGCAAGGGGGAGACATTCAAGCAAACGGTCACGGGCTCATGGGGCAATCGCAAGGTTTCCCAAATGCGCTCCAAGCTGTTCAAGAGGCAGAAGATCGCGGAGCCAAAGGAGAATGAATCTAAGATCGCCGAGCTTTGGAGGTACTATCAGAACCTGGCACGAGTTGCCGCTGAAGCTCAACTGGATGCAACAGGAGCTGAAGGGTTCATTCCAACTCCAGTGGCGGGCTTCGATCTTCTTGTGGATGACGTTTGTGGTTGTCTTTGCGATTGGGCTGGTAATCGGATGCATGTCGTGCGCGTCGGTTGGGTGTGGCTCGCCAGTTTCCGAGTTCACGTCTGCGCTCCTCCATGGGCATCGTGAACTTAATGGTATGGCGGCGCCCATCTTGTTCTCGCCATTTTCATAGAACATGGCAAGCAACATTGTTGCAGGCATCTCCGCTCTCGGGGTGAACGAGAGGGTGGTTTCAACAGGTGTCAAGACAGCCTTCGGAAGCTAGCCAAGGATGAGGTTTCCTTTTGGGACGTGTGTTGTTCATTTTCTTCCTCTTCCACTTCCTCTTCCCTTTCCTCTCCTCTCTCCCTCCTCACCCTCCCTGCTCCGCAACAACAAGCACGTGTCAGGATCGCCTCGCTTGTGCCCCCATTTCAGACGCTGCTTCGCGCTGTAGTGCTCAACGCACTGCTGGTGCGCAGGACCCCGATTTAGGGAGGTCTGCTGCACATGCAGGACCCGCGGATGACGACTGATCTCAGAGATCTCAATCCGACCCTCCTGCGCTGCCGTGGGCGCGTGCGGCCCGAGGTCGAGCCCAAGAGGAGCCCGCTCTAACGCATGGGCGCTCAGGGAAGCGCTGGCGGCCCCACGGCGATAGATCGTGCCTCGGGAGGCTCAGGTGGTGCGAGGGAAACAGATCAAGCTCAGGCTGACGCCTGCCCGCCAGGAGCCCGACGCTGCATTCCATACATCGCTTTGGGAAACACACGCACACACACACACACACGCGCGCACACACACACACATTCACACGCACGCGCGCACACACATACACACATTGATACACACATTCACACACGCACACGCGCACACACGCACACGCACACAAAAACACACACGCACACACAGACACGCACACACACACAGACAAACACACACACACGCACGCACACACACACACGCGCGCACACAAACACACACACACACGCGCGCACACACACACACCCACAAACCAAACCCACCCGCCCACCCACCCATCCACCCTCCCACACACCCACACACCCACAACAACCCCCACACACACACACACACACACACACACACACACACACACACACACACACACCACACACACAACACACACACACAACACACAACACACACACACACACGCACACACTCACACACGCACACACGCACACACAGAGACACCGCCACAGACACAGACACAGACACCGACACAGACACAGACACAGACACACACACACACACCCAAACACCCACACCCACACACACCCACACATACACACCCGCACACACACACACACACCCACGCACACACGCCCACACACACTCACACACCCACCCACGCACACACACACCACAAACACACCCAAACAGACCCATACGCACCCACACACACACACCCACACACACACACGCACACCCACACACCCATAAATCACACACCCCAAAGCACACACCACACACACACATACCACACACGTACACACGCACGCGCGCGCGCACGCACGCACGCACGCACGATGCACGCACGCACGCGCGCACGCACGCAAGCACGCACGCACGCACACACACACACACACATTCACCCACGCACACGCACACAAAAACACACACACGCACGCGCGCACGCGCGCACGCACACACGTACGCACGCACCCCCACGCACGCACGCACACACCCAAACACGCACACACACGGACGCACACACGCACACACGCAAACACACACGCACACACGCGCTCTCGCACGCACATGTACACGCACACACACACACATACGCGCACATTCACGCCCAAACACACGCACACACAGACGCACACGCACACACGCAGGGACACACGAACACACACACACACACACACACACACACGCACGACGCACGCACGCACAGTCGCACACACGCACACACACACAGACAGACACACACACACACGCACGCACGCACGCACGCACGCACACACGCGCACACGCACACACGCACACACGCACACACGCAAACACGCGCAAACGCACACGCGCACACACGCACCAAAAGCAGAAACGCACACAAGCACACACGCACACACGCACACACACGCGCGCACACATGCACACACGCACACACGCACACACGCACACACGCACACAGGCACACGCACGCACACACGCACACACACACACACACACACGCACAGACACACACGCAGACACACACGCAGACACACACACACACAGACATAAACACACAAACGCACACACAGACACAGACACACGCAGACAAACACACACGCACACACAGACACACACAGACAGACACACACACACACACACGCAGACAATCACACTCACACTCAAACACACAAACTCACACTCACACTCACACTCACACGCACACGCACACGCAGACGCACACGTAGACGCACACGCACGCACGCACACCGCACACGCACATACGCACACACACACACACTCACACGCACACATGCTGCCGCGCACACACGCACACACGCACACACGCGCACACGCACACACGCACACACGCTCACACACAAACACACACAAACGCACACGCATGCATACACGCACACACACACACACACACACGCACACACACACGCACACGCACACACGCACACACGCACACGCACACACGCTCACATGCACACACGCGCACACGCACACACGCACACACGCGCACACGCACACACGCACACACGCGCACACGCAAACACGCACACACCCACACGCACGCACACACGCACACACACACACACACACACGCACACACACGCACACACACACACACGCACGCACGCACACATCCGCACACATCCGCACACATCCGCACACATCCGCACACATCCACACACCCGCACACCCGCACACCCACACACCCGCACACCCACACACCCACACACCCACAAAACCACACACCCACACACCCACACGCCCACACACCCACAAATACAACTACGAGCAGTAACACAAGCACACACACAGACATGCACCCCGTGACTGGGGGAGACAGGGGCGGGGGCAGGATGGCTCAGAGAGTCGACCTGGGACCGACGGTGCACATCACTCGGCGCGGCTCCCACGCCCTTCTCCCGAGATCCCACGTCCCCATTGGCGACGAGTGGGCGATTCCAGGCCGGCGCCCCTCACCCCCCCTGAGCCTGTCGACCCCCCCTCTTCTTTCCCCTTTCTCCCGAGATGCCACGCCCCCATCGGCGACGAGTGGGCGATTCGGGGTCGGCGTCCCCCATGCCTTCTGAGCCTGGCCCACCAGCCCCCCTCTTCTTTCGCCAGACTCCCCCTGTCCGTTCTGGTCGGGTCGGCCAGGCCGGAACCAGCGGCAGACCGTCAGCCTGGTTCCCGCCGGGGACCTAGCAGAGCTCTCCGAGGCTCTTCTCAGGCGAGGAAGTGCAGAGAGGATGCAGCCACCGAGTCTCCGAAATTTGTTTGTGGAGAGCATTCGCAGTTTGGGAGGAACGGGTTGGGAGGATGAAGGGTATGAACAATAGCATCCTGATGCAGTGAAGGATACCCTCGGCGGCCTACGGGCAATGATGTCCTCCTCTCTCCCAGCCCCATCCTCCCAACCCGCTAATTGTGCTCCTGATGGTTTGGGCCATAAAAAGCTTCCCAGGTCCCTGGCAGACATCGGCGACCCGGGGAGGATCTTCGAGGCGTCCCACGCCCTCTCGGTGCTGTCGATGTGCCAGTTCGCCATGCCGAGGAAGGCGAAGGGCAGCTGCGGGCCGTCCCTCGGCGGCGTCGGGGGGCCGCGGCGGGCAGAGGGAGCAGGCGGGGCACCGGTGGTCTCTCCCATCTGGAGGAGGGGAGGGGGCGGAGAGGCGGGGAGGGGGCAGGCGAATCGGGGACGTCGGAGGAGGGGGCGAGGGAGGGGAGGGGGGAGGCAGGAGCGAGGGAGGGAGGGAGAGGGGCGGGGTGTGTAAAGGAGGACGGGGAGGGAGACGGAGCAGGCGGAAGGAAGCGGGCAATAACGTGGTGTGGCAGAAGAGGCGGCGGAGAGGGAGGGGAGGGAGGGAGGGATGGAGGTAGGGAGGGAGGGAGGGAGCAGGAGAATGAGCCGGAGGAGGCGGCGGAGGGCGGGTCGGTATGAAGAGGGGGGCGAGGTGTCTCATCCTATTCGTCCTTCTGCTCCTCTCGCTTGTCCTCATGCTCCCCTCTTGCCCCCCTTCCCTCCTCCTTCCCCCTCTGTCCTCCTGCCTCCTCCTTATCCTTCTCCCCATCGTCCTCCTCCCTCCTCCCCCTCCTCCTCCTCCGCCTCCTTCTTCATGTTTTCCTTGCGGATGGCTCCTGGTTTCCCTGCGGATCGCTCCTCCTCGTCTGGCAACAAGACGTGCCGGTAGGGTGTGCCAGGCGTTTCGCCTGGGACTTCTTCCCTGCTGCTACTGACCCTGAAGCTCGAGATTCCCAACAGCTACATGAGTGGATGGGGGGTGACTTCGCACTATGGCTCTCGCCTGAGCACCGCGCGCATTCGTCTCACAACTTCGAGCTTCTACACGCACGGATGGTCGCTTGACAAGTGTGGATCTCGCCTCTGTGCCGCGCGGATGGGCGGGTGGAAATTTTCAGAACGGGCTCTCACCCGAGCGCCGTGCACAGTCACCTAAAAATTTCCAGGCCAACAGCTAAGCAGAGGGAGGCCGCTTCCTTGCGAAAACGTGGCCTTCGCCCTAGCACCGCGCACACTCGTTCTAAACATGTCCAACAACTGCACGGATGGACGGCGGCTGCTTTTTTTAAGATCTGGCTCTGGCGTTAACGCCGCGCGCATTCGTCTCAAAAGCTTCCCGCGCTCACACAGATGGAGGGTGGCTCCTCTTCAGACTAGAACAATCGCCTGAGTTTGCCTGAGTTATGATGTTCAGAAGTCTGAAGCTGTGAATCAGTACACGTATGGAAGGCGAATCCCTTTCACATCGGCGCTCGCTTTGGACATCCTGCGGCTGAATCGCACGTCGTTAGTTCAATTGAAAACACTTGCAAGGATTTGAGGGCGGCTCATGTTCAAAGTGGGGCCCTTGCAGACAACTTCCTTGATCTTCAGCATACCTCGTCACCGCCCGAATAACTAGAAGCATGCATGATAGCTTCTTTTCAACATGGGGCTATGGCATGAATTCCAAGACCATGGGCCGCTCATCTTTCAAAAGGGCACATCCCGCAGTGAAGAGGAAGCCCTGCAGGGGCTTATGAGGAGGGGACTCGGGGCAGGTGGGCGTAGTGAAACATTGTTGGCGCATCGTGGGCTCCCTCCTGGCTGCGTACTCCTCCCCCACCGGTGTCCTCCATTCCTACACCCCCTCCTCCTCCATAACAGGAAACTGCATGCCCCGATTAAGGTCCGCCCTGCAAATAAAACGCGAAATAGCCCATCAGTCCTTCAGACCGTAGGTGGTTGAGCGAGCTCTTTTTCCAACCCCCCCTCCTTTTTCCGTCGGGATAAGACTCGCCACTCCTCCTTATTAGTAAACAGCCCTTCCCCCACTCGACGGGACTTTATACAAGTGCCAATGCCCCCCAACCCTTCTTGTCAAAAGCAAGACAACATGCACGCGGCAAGCTCTGGATCATGATCGGGCGCCCACCAATCACTTTGCATTTGTTTGGCAAGGACAGCGGGGGTGCCATCATATTGTCCCGCACACGCAGGCCCACCATCCCTGCCCACAACAATGCAAAGCGCACGTTGCAGCAAAATCTTAGACCATGCGCGGGCGCCCCGTGACAATTTTGCATAGCTATTTGACGGGAGTGGTGGGGGCTCCCGCGTATTGTGTGGCGTGCCCGGGCTCACCATGTTGACCACCTCGCCGCCGCTTGGCACTGGCTTTCGACAGGCACAATGGGGGGTCGACGTGTATCCCAGTGCGACCTTTGTCATAAAAGAAGAAAGAACCACATAAGCATAAACCTTTGGCGCTCCGCGCGGATTTCTTCGATCCGCGCCTGGGCCCCCCTCCCTGGCGCGCGGTGGCGCGCGGAGGCGCCGCCGGAGGGCCTAGGCGCGGATCCAAGAAATCAGCGCGGAACGCCAAAATTAAGTCGGGCGTGTCCCCCTACAGGCGGATCTTGTGCGGAAAATTAAAAATATCCAAACAAATAATCAAAACTGGAAACAAATAGTACAAAAATCGTCCTCAGATTTTCTTTTCACTATTTTTGGACTTCCCTCCTGTAGAAGGCCAAGCCCGAGTTCAGGTCAAAAACTAATGCTTTTGTGGCTTTCTTTCCTTTTTTGAACCTGGCACGCTGCGCGCATCTGCACGGGGGGCGCGCCTGGCGCGGGTGAGGCATGGGACCCGCTTGCCGAGTGTGGCGTCAATTGCGCCTGCGGCGCGCCAGGCGCTGGGGCCCCCCTTGGCACGCTCGGGCCCCTGGGGCGCCTGGCGTGCCTGGGGCGAGAGGCGCACATGGCACGCGCGGCGCACTAGGCTTAGGTCGGGCGCGTCCCCCCCTACAGGGGGATTTGGAGCGAAAAATGAAGAATGCCCCAAACATACTTTTCAATGGTCAGAAATAGTCAACAAATCGTCCCCTGATTATGTTAATACTATTTTCGAATACTCCTCCTGTACAGGGAAAGGCCCGACTTAACACTAGGCGAACGTCATGCGCCTGGCATTTATTTTTGTTCCCACTGGCTGTGTCGATCCCATGGCGACCCTTGTCAATGCTGACACTCGGATGCAAGTTATGTGGTGGGACGACGAGTGGGGTCAGCGAGACGGCCGTCCTGGGGGGGTAGCTTGATCAGTGCTCCATAGTAATGCGCACCCCCATCCCCCACCCGACCGGCGACAAAGCAGGAAAAATGATAACCCCCCCAACGTCCCTGTCAAAAAGCAATGCAAACTTCACGCTGCGGCAGAATATTGGTTCATGTCCAGGGTGGCCGCGAGCATGTTGCGGTTTTTTGTCCGGGGCGGCGGGTGGCCAGCATATGGCCTGTTGTTCCAAGGGGAACCATCGCTGTCAAAAACAATACGCAGTGTACTTCGGGGCAAAATCTGGACCATGCGCGGACACCCCGCGATCATTTCCCACGGTTTCTGACAGGGACAGCGGGGGCGCTGGCATCTTTCACCGCCCTGACCTTGCACACGTGCTGCAGCGGATTTTTGCGTGGATGTCTGTCATTGCAAAAGCCCGCAACATCGAGTGACAAGCGAAGTGAATTTCGCGTGGGTTGTGTCAGTCTTCACTCCTGGCCAAAACCCGCGCGAAATCCACTTCGAAATCTGGAACGACATTCTCCAGGACACTCCCGGCCCACCCTTCCGTTTTTCCAACGAAATCCGCTGTGATGTTGGCGCCATGACGTATTGTCTGCTGTGCGCAGGCCCCGCCAGACATCACGATGGCCACTCCGCCGCGACTTGGCTTGAGCAAGGACCGACCGTCACGGCATTTCTGTAGGCCTACCACGACATGCTCCTAGAACCCAAGAACGTTCTAAAAATTAAGCAATGTGCTTAGAGCATAAGCCCACTGTGCTCAAACAAGACAGCCCAAGCCAGGCATGTTCCAATAACACTTCGTGCACACCACACAAAAAACTCTTAGACCACTCTTGGGCGGGCCCACAGGCGAGCCAGGACGCCTCGCCGCTGCTTGACTGGCACCGGCTTCCGCCGAGGCTGGTGGGGGCGTTCCTAGGCCTTTCGGCTCCTCCTCCTCCTTCTCCTCCTCCTCCTCCCCCTCGCCCCCCCCGCCTCCTTTTCCTCCTCATCCTCCTCCTCCTCCTCCTCCTCCTCCTCCTTTTTCTCACCCGTATCGTTCCTGATCCTCCCTATTCCTCCTCGTCGTCCTCCATTTGCCACGTGCTCCTCCTCCTCCTCCTCCTCCTCCACCTCCTCCTCCTCCTCCTCCTCCTCCTCCGCCCTCGTCCTCCTCCTCCTCGAGCAGCAAACGCGATCTGTCGCGCGACCGCGCACCCTGAGTTCCCCCGAGACGGCGGCGACCAGGTAGCCCCCCGAGGCCGCCCCGCGGCCCGGCCGGCCGCGCGGCCTCGGGTCGCGGAGGAGCAGCACGGCGTCGTTCCGCGGCGGGCCGCTGGCGCCCTCGAACCACGGAGGCTCCTCGTTCTCGGGGCACATGGAAGGGTCCTGCCGTCGTCGCGGGGAGGGGGGAGGAGGAGGAGGAGGACGAGGAGGAGGAGGAGGAGGAGGAGGAGGAGGAGGAGGAGGAGGAGGAGGAGGAGGAGGAGAGGGGGAGGAGGGAGGGGGAGGAGGAGGAGGAGGAGGGGGAGGGGGAGGAGGAGGAGGAGGAGGAGGAGGAGGAGGAGGAGGAGGAGGAGGAGGAGGAGCAGGAGGAGGGGGAGAAGGAGGAGAAAGAGGGGGAGGAGGAGCCCTCGTTTCGAGGAGGAGGGGGACGAGGAGGAGGAGGAGGAAGAGGAGGAGGAGGTGGAGGAGGAGGAGGAAGGGCCCTCGTCTCGGGAGGGAGAGGGGGAGAGGCGGGGAATGAGGAAATGGACATGGGGGAGGAGCAACTGTTGTTCATGATGATGATGAGAATGATGATGCTGCTGCTGCTGCTGATGATGATGATGATGATGATGATGATGATGCTGATGCTGATGCTGATGCTGATGATGATGATGATGATGATGATGATGATGATGATGATGGTGATGGTGATGGTGATGGTGATGATGATGATGATGCTGATGATGATGATGATGATGATGACGCTGATGATGATGCTGCTCATGATGATGATGACGACGGTGATGATGATGGTGGCGAAGATGCTGATGACGATGATGACGATGATGATGATGCTGATGATGATGATGCTGATGCTGATGATGCTGATTATGATGATGATGATGCTGCTGATGATGATGACGGTGATGATGATGGTGATTGTGATTGTGATTGTGATGCTGATGGTGGTGATGATGATGACGATGGTGATGATGATGGCGACAATACGTGGAGGGGAGGGGAAGAGTGCGAAGAGGGAGCAAGGGCAGCGGGGGATGGGGGAGTTGAAGGGGGGATGTAAGGATAGATTGTGGGAGGGTGTGAAGAGACTGGAGAGAAAGAGAGAGAGAGAGAGAGAGCGAGAGAGAGAGAGAGAGATACGTATACGAGACGAAGAGGAGGATAGAGAAAGAGAGAGAGAAAGAGAGAGCGAGAGAAAGGGAGGAGGACGAGGTGGAGGATGAAATAGCAGGACGAATGATGATGAGGAGCATAAAGAGGAGGGATGGGGGGTGGAGGAGGAACGAGGAGGACGAGGCATGGGGCAGGGAGGATGAGGAAGAGAAGGGACGGGATGATGGGGATGAGGAGGAGGAGGAGGACGAGGAGGAGGAGGAGGCATACGAGTATATCAAGAAGCACATCGCAGTGCAAGACGATAGCAACACTAATGCGAGGATACCATCCGAGACTGTGATGTCAGACCTAGCATTGCAGACACACTGCTGCCAATCTCCATATCCGCCACAACGCTCCGAGGCACCGAGCGGAGTGCCGTCAGGTAGCGACTGCAGCAGAGGTGGGCGTGCAGCGCGCAAGCGTCTGTGGCCTGGCTTCCGTCGGCGTGCCAGTGGCACGTGGCCTTTAAATTCGCAGCGCAAGCGGCCGCCGCGGTCAGGCGACGTGCCCTCGGGTCCCTTCGGATTCTCTGCGTTGTCTACTTTCGGCGCTAGTACAGGGCCAGGACCTCCGTGCTCTGGGGGCGCTCCTGGCAGCCCCTCGGCGCTCCTGGGAATCCCCGCGCGGCCATTCCAGGGACCGCGGGCGAGGTTTTCCATCCAGGGGAAAGGAGATTTGGGAGGGCAGAGCACAAGCAAACGACAAATGGCCCAATCGACAGCGTGAAAAGAACAGGGACATACTTGTGGCCAGGAGCGATTATTTAGCGTGGCGCGGCGGCGACCCCAGCGACACACTATGCCCTGCGAGCGGATGGCGTGTCGCTCCGCTCCGCGGGGCGGGATGCTGGGAAAGGCTCAGGAAATTGACGCTTTGGAACTGGGGACGTGGTTAACGTGTCGCGCCGAGGCATGGTGGGCCAGAACCGGCCGTGCGACTTTTTATATCCGGCAGCGCCAGCGGACGCGGGCGCAGGGCGCCGGGCGCGCGGAGCGGGTGGGGAAGCAGAGAGCGGCCGCAGCAAGGGAAGAAGAGGAGGCCCGACCATCGAGAATCGATTGGTGAGGGGCGAACCAGCGGCGCGACACGCTACAGCCAGACCAGGGACAGAAGAACATCCTTCAAGAACATGAGACCCTCCGCCAACCAAAACGCACACACAGAACATCCAGGGCGACCCTCACCAGGATGCACAGGAACATCCAGCAGGCACGAAAAACGTCAAGGTACCCTCCCCGAGCCGACCTCGATCTTACACCTCGGTCCGACCGTAGTCCAAAGTTCCCGACCGCAGGATTAGCGCCAAGCTCGCTCCCGAGACCGTGGAGGAGCGAGAGGAGGAGCGAGAGGAGGAGGAGAAGGAGGAGGAGGAAGAGGAGGAGGAGGAGGAGATTCAGGAGGAGGAGGAGGAGGAGGAGGAGGAGGAGGAGGAGCGAGAGGAGGAGGAGAAGGAGGAGGAGGAGGAGGAGGAGGAGGAGGGGGAGGGGGAGGAGGAGGAGGAGGAGATGGAGGAGGAGGAGGAGGAGGAGATCGCTCCCGAGACCGTGGTTAGGAGCGACTGGAACTCCACGCCTCCAGAAGGACCCTGCGATGGCCCCGAGAGGCCCGCCCTGGAGAGCTCAGCTGTGACGGGGCCTTAGGGAGAGGCAGACAAACCGACACACATTTCAGGACTCCCAATTTTTTTCGATGCTTCCTGGATTTACCTCTTCTCATCCGCTTTCCAGATCTTTCCGGTTTCCCAGTGGAGAATCGACGTTCGTTGGTGTGTGTGTGTGTGCATCTTTTCCCCTCTTGGCGTTGGGCGCCTCTTGGGCCGCATTTGGAGGCACCGGGGACTGGCCCAAGAGGCAAACATAATCGAGTCACACACTTTTTTGCTGCTGCTGCGTGCTGCTTGTGTGCATCAGCATTCTTCGCGTGCGCACCCTTCCGGCCCGAAGAGCAAGACGGCGCCATGGGATGGGCCCCCACGATCGCTCCGACCGATAGGGCCCCCGGGGCCCCGAAGAGGCAAGCGTTCGACAAAAATTGTAAACACTTCTCGATTTGTGCATGTCATCCTTGCGCAGGGGCCATGCTAATCTTCTCTGCATCGTTCCAATTTGATCGGATGACCCCCGAAGGGAATCCAGCCGGGGCTCCGAAGAGGGCCCAGAGGCCGTCAGGCCGCCCGGCCCCAAGACGGGCCCAGGACGGTGGACGGGGAACCCGAACCGGCATGTCGAACCCTCCCCAAAAAAACTTGGCCCGCGGGGGCGCGAGCAGGCCCCCGAGAGACCCCCAGAGGCACACACGAGGCCCCCAAGAGGCCTCGCAGAGACCCCAGAAGAATATTCCAAGATGTCCCCAGGAGACCTACCAGGAGACCCCACTGTGCTCTCTCTCTCTCTCTCTCTCTCTGCGAGACCTCTCGTTCACGACCCAAGCACGGTGGCGGGATGGGCCGCAGGCCACTAGACCTGCTTGGCACGGGGACGGAAAGCGCACTTACTTTCAGAGCGCACGAGATCGCTGGCTCGTCCGCTCTTACACCTCTTATTGACTCCCTTCCCCTCGCTCTTGTCCTATCTCAGCCTCGGAGAGTCGCGGAGCTTTCTTTGAGCGCGTTTCTTGTTTTGGAGGGGGCGGTCGGGTCGAGTTGCGTTTTCCGCGTTTGGGCTGCCAGCTTTCCAGAACCCCGCGTTTTCCTTGCGTGGGCCGCTCGTTGTCCACGCGTTGCCGCCCGTCCCTGTGCCCTGGCGTCAAGGACTTATTACGTCGCAGCTCTCGGTTGGGAGCTTTGGTCTTATCAGCTCGATTACGTCACCGCTCACTCTTGGGAACCGCTGTGCTAAGAGCCTTTGGGAGTATTTTGGGCCTCTTTGGGGGCTCTTGGGGAGCCTCTTGGGTGCCTCTTGGGGCTTTTCGGTGGCCTCTTGGGGCCTCCTGGGAGCTTCTGGGCTGCGGGGGTGAAGGGACTAGGCTGCCTTTGGCCGTCTTTGGGCTCTCTTGGGGGCCTCTTGGTGCCTTCTTGGGGCCGTCCTGGGGCCGTCTTGGCGCCTCTTGGGCCGTCTTGGCGCCATCTTGGGCCGTTTTGGGGCCCTCTTGGGCCTTCTTGGAGCGCTCTTAGGGGCCTCTTGGACAGTCTTGGGCGCCTCTTGGCCCGTCTTGGCGCCCTCTTGGGCCCAAGATGCACCCAAGACGGCCTAAGATGGCCTCAAGATGGCCCAAAACGGCCCAAGAGGCTCCCAAGAGGCCTCCAAGACGGCCCAAGAGGCCTCCAAGAGGTCCTCCAGGAAGGCCCGAAGATGCCCAAATCATAGATTTTCCTCAGGTGTTTGAAGGATTTTGGCATTTGCGCCTTTGCGGCTTTCCGACGGCCCGAGGCGGCCCAAGAGGCCCCAAAGGTCGCCGCAAGAGGCCTCCAAGATGGCCCCATGACGGCCCGAGAGGCTCCCACGACGGCCCCAAGAGGGCCCGAAGACGGCCCAAGAGGCCTCCAAGACGCCCAAGATGGCCTCCAAGACGGCCCCAAAACGCCCCAAGAGGGCCCCAGGTTGGCCCAGAAAGGCCCCCAAGACAGCTCCCGACGGCGTCAGACGTGCCAGGGACCCACCAAGATGGCCGAAGTTGGCTCGAAGCTGGCCCAAGACGGCCCAAGAGGCCCTCAAGAGGGCCTCTAGGAAGGCCAGAAGAGGCCAACAACCTTGATGTTCCTACGGTTTTTAACGGACGTTGACATTTGCTTTTTGTTCGGCCTTCCGACGGCCCGAGACGGCCCAAGAGCCCCCAAAGATCGCCCAACGCTCGCCCAAGATGCCTCCAAGGTGGCCCCAGAACGGCCCAAGAGGGCCCCAAGAGGGCACCAAGACAACCCAAAAGGCCTCCAAGACGCCCAAGATGGCCTCCAAGACGGCCCTGGAGCATTCCAAGAGGGCCCCAAGTCGGCCCAGAGAGGCCCCCCAAACGGCTTCCGACGGCGTCAGACGGACCAGGAGCCCACCAAGACGGCCGAACATGGCCCTAAGATGGCCCAAGACGGCCCAAGAGGTCTCCAAGAGGGCCTCCTGGAAGGCCCGAAAAGGCCAAAATCCTTGATTTCCCCATGAATGTTTGAAGGATTGTGGCATTTGTTTTTTTTCTGCCTTCCGACGGCCCGAGACGGCCCAAGTGCCCCTACAGATCGCCCAAGAGGCCCAAGACACGGCCCCATGAGGCCCCCAAGACGGCCCAAGAGGTCTCCAAGACGCTCAAGATGGCCTCCAAGACGTCCTCCAAGAAGGCCCGAACGGGTCAAAATGGCCGCCAGGCGGCCAAGATGACCTTCAAGATGCCCACGTGTTCCCCGAAAGCTTTCCAAACCGATTCGGGGAACACATGGTCCGATAGCTTGGCAGGTCTGGCCTCAACGTTCGGCCACATAGGCGCTTCCACAAAGGCAGGGGGCGGCGGTGATTCGCCGTAGGCGTCTTCGATCCGCCGCCCCCTGTTGGCTTGCCACAGGGGTGCCCGGCGTGTTGGACCCTTTCGGTTTTGGTTTTGGTTCTGTTTCCAAGAGAACTCTCCCCTTCGGCCCGTCCCGCCGGCCACGCAGAAAATGCTAAAGTCAATGCCTTTCACGACCAAGATGCCTCCAAGACGGCCAAGATGGCCCAAGATGGCTTCCAAGTCCGCCTGATATGGTCCAATATGGCCTCCAAGACGGCCCAAGAGGGTCCAAGATGCCTCCAGGTCCGCCCAAGAGGCCTCTAAGACAGCCCACGACTGCCCAATAGGTGCCCAAGATGCCTCCAAGACGGCCCAAGAGGCCTCCGGGAGGTCCAGGAGGGCCCGAAGAGGCCAAAATCATCGATATTCCTTAGGTGTTTGAAGGATTTGCGTTTTTTTTTTGTTCGGTGCCTGGCTGGGCAGGCGTCCGCGGCGCGCAACAGCGAAGTCTGCCGTCCGAGCGCGCGCCTCTCACTACGCAGGTGCGAGCGGCTCTCGCAGCGGAGATTCCAATGGAGGCCCGCCGCACTTGAATTCCCGCTTACAGGGCATTAACCTACGCAACCGCGCGGAAGCACGGGGGATGGGAAGCGAACCATCAAAGGGAAGAACACCACCTGTGGGGACTATCGCCCGATTCCTACGGAAAGGGAACAGCGTGACATCTCCCGCGAGGGAAGCCACCACTCACACCCCCCTCTCTTGGCTCCTCTGGGCCGACGGGGGAACAGCGTGCCGCTGCCTGGCCTCACGTACTGCCCCGCCAGTGCTCGCGGGCCTCGCCACAAACTTCGACGACGTCCGAGCAGCAGCTGCCGGTGTTCACGCAATCCGGGTTGCACTGGCAGAGGTTGGCAGGGTCGTACTCGACGCAGCCGTACGTCTTGCAGCTTCCTTGGTCCACCTGGGGCACCTGGATCGTGTACTGGTCCCAGCAGGAGTTCTCCTGCACGGCGCAGGCGTAACTCCTCCACAGCTGGCACGAGCCCTGCTGGCCTCCCCAGCCGCTGCACTGCGTGGCGCTGCGCCTCTGAAAGCCCACACAGCCGGGTTCGGAGAAGCACTTCTGCGCGCATGCCAGCGCGCCGCCCTCCTCCACGGTCTCCGGCCCCAGGGAGACCTCCTCGTAGTTCGAGCAGCCCATGCCCTCGAGCACCATGACCGCAGCAAGGCCCCCACCCAGAGGAACCTTTGTCGGCGCCGAGACGTCGACCACGGCGGGAGGCGTCGTCGTCGTGGTCGTCACCGTCGACGGGGCCGCGGTGGTGAGGGCCATGTTGATGTCCCAGCGCGCCGAGTGCCCATCGCCCTCCCGGAGGAAGCCCGGCCTCTGGCTCGAGGGCACCGCGTAGTACGCGACCTCGTCGGAGATGGAGGCCAGCGCCACGTCCACGTCGAGACAGCGCGGCGTCTCTTCGTTGAACACGCGCGCCTTCCAGACGCGCTGCACCTCCGCGAGGGCGTCGGTGCGGTAGAGCATGGCGTGCATGCCCCAGTTCACGCCGTGGCGGCAGCCCCAGGCCGGCTCGTTCCCGTCCGGCTGCACCCGCAGCAGGTGCCTCGAGACGCACTTGCCATAAGGGCAGCGGGACATCAGCGAGGTCACCTGCCAGTCGCACGGCAGCTCCTCCCGAACCAACGCCCAAAGCCTCTCGACGAGGTCCGGCTCCGGCAACGAGTCGTCCTCCAGGACCAGAGCCAGCCGGGCGCCCTCCTCCAAGGCCTGCGCCTGGGCCTTGAAGTGGGCAGAGGCGCAGCCGACAGTGCCGAGGATGCTGCCTTCCAGGCGCTGCCGCGGCTCGGCAGCGACCTCCTGCGCGCGGGTGTAGTTGAAGCTGCTCGGCATCCACCCGGAGGCCTTGGCGGTCTCCAGGGCACCTGGGTTCCGCATGTCCACGCCGAAGACGCGCGTGGCGCGGAGGCGCTGCGCCGACAGCGCCGCGAAGCAGCGCTCCCAGCGCTCCTCGTCCGACGGCAGGTTCAGGACGTAGACGCGCACGTTGCCCTCGAACCACTCGCGCGCCGCGGCGCGCTCCTCCTTGGACCAATTCCTCCACTCCCCAAACTCGGCGCGGTCGCACACCTCGGAGTCCTCGAGCGGCGAGAACGGCGCCTCCGCGGGCCCCGGCGACAGCCCCATGCGCGCCGCCTCCTCGCGCAGGCCGGCCCACGGGATGTGGTCCTTGATGTGGCCGTGGCACACCTGCTTCAGCCCAGCCCAGCACCAATTCTGCTGGTCGTCGCCAGAGGCGCCCTGAGCGCCGCCCTGCCTGCACTTCTCCAGCTGCCGCGGGGCGATCGCCCACGCGCGCGGCCCCGCGGCGCCGAGCGCGCGCGGCGGCACGCGCGCGGCGGCGCTGCAGAGGCCCTCGCCCGCGCGGCGCTGCAGAGGGTCCTTGCCCAGGGCCAGGGCGCGATCGGCCATCCCCTCCACGCTGTCGAGCAGAGCCTCCCACTGCCTCTGCCGCACCAGGGCGGCCCGGTGCTCGTGGATGGAGCTGGCCAGGAGACCCGCGCACAGCAGCGCGCCCGCCACCATCACCAGCCTCCCGCACGAGCAGTGCGGGCTCGTCTCGGCGCTGGAGGCCTCCTTCAGCGCGGCCTCGTCCTCCGGGCCGTCCTTGCACGGCTGGTGCCACCTGTGGGACGCGAGCAGCGGGGCATCTTCGCCCCGCGGTTCGCTGCGGCGGTCGCTGGCGAGGTCGATGTCCTTCACGG